GGTCCTGCTGTGGTCAGCCAGTTCCCAGGAGAAACTGGGCATCCCATTGCATTTTCTGAGCTCCTGGCTAAGCTTGAGGCAAGCAGAGTTCAGGAGTTTTTCGGCTGTAGGTGAAGCCAGGCTGCTCCTTGGAGACAAGGATTCTTAAGCTTTGTCTGACATACTTTGGACATGTGGACATGTTGCCAGGAGGGACGGGTCCTTGGAGAGGGACATCATGCTTGGGAGGGTGGAGGGACTGCGCAGGAGAGAAAGACCCTCGATGAGATGGATTGACGCAGTCGCTAGGGTAATGGAGATGGGTGTGTCAGAGACAATAACATTGGCAAGGGACAGAGCAGGGTTTAGGGCTGTTGTACATAGTGGTCGCTGTGAGTCCCAGGCTACTCAATGGCACGTAACAACAACAGGAGGAAAAGAACCCTGAGCAAGTGTGGTCAGGACAAAGTCCATAGTAAGAAATGGGCAGCACTGGGTCACAGAAGTAACAGTACTTGTATAGCAGCAATTCTTCTTAGGGAGCTCTGGTGGCTTAGTAGTAAGGAGTTGTGCTGCCAACCCAAAGAGATCTGGTTCAAATCCACCAGCTGCTCTGAGGGACAAAAATGGGCAAACTCCTCCCATGTGATTTACAACCTCTGAAAACCCCCTGGAGGGTCAGCTATGGGTAAGTTCCAGCTCGATGGAACGTATCAACAATTCTTTCTTGCATTGCATCTCCAGTACCCTTCTTCAATCGGAAGCATTCACAACATGCTTGCTGACTGCACCTTATTTCTTCTCACAATGTTTCAGATTACCCTATTGGCAGATGAGGTGAGAATTAGGGCCCTGAGCCTCACAGCGGTATGTGTCAGGCTTCCAAACCCAGAAGGGGTTTGGAAGAATAATGGTGACCCTGTGCTGTGGAGCAGACCTGCCCCATAAGTTTTCCAAGGCAGGAATCTGCAGTTAGCAACAGAGCTTCCAAGAAGCTGTCACCTTTCAGCCAGCGACAGTGCACACCATCAATTCCCTGCACTCCCAGGTCCACAGTCCTAGCTGGATGCCCTTGCACAGACTGGGCCTCATCTGTAAGATGGGAAACCCAAGAGCCTGGCCTTGTCAAGTCTGTATCAGGAACAAATGTACCATTCATCTGAAGCATGCCTGCACATACCAAATGCTCACTTAAGGAAGCTACTATTATTGCTGTTATCATTTGTTGTTCTTCTGCCAGAGAAGCTTCTCTTGAAATCTTGCTCTAGGGGGGATCCCATCCCTGATGACTCCTTGTCCACAGACCCTGGTCTCCGGCCACCCCCACCTCAACTGAATCAGAAATAGAAACCACCACCTCCAGCCGTCAGCCTCCTCCCTCCCCCGCCCCAGGCCAGCAGCGATCGATCAATGCGGCCTGAGCCTGTGGGGGACAGAGGGAGGCCGGGAGGAGAGCCGGCCGCGGGCATCCGGCTGCAGCGAGGAGGCTCCGGGAGAACCAGCCCTGGCGACTCTGGGCTTCCTCACCTGCCGACCTCCATCGGCGCCAGGGAGAGGCCGCAGCAGGTAAGAGATGCCCTTCCAGAGGGACATGGTCCTGGGAAGGGACTAGGGAGATTGACAGGGGTGCGAGTGACTGCCTTTATCTCTGCCATCCCTGGGGACATGCCTTGTGGGTGATGGCAGTGTTTGGGGGAGACCCACGTTGGTCCTTCCATCATTTGTAAAATGGGTTAAAAAGCAACCCTGCAGGCTGGTGTGGGAATTTAGCAGAATGCAGAATATCTGGAGCCCAGGGATATGACCTGCACATAGTAGGACTCCTAAGAAGTGTGTGGGGAGAGGCTGGAGTCAGAAAGCATCTCCAGTCTCACCTGTTCCACGGGCTAGGTGTGTAATTCCTAACCACTCAGTTGATCTTGTTAACCAGTTTTTAGATTCTCCCTCAAGAAATGTTTACAAAACTAATGGCCTCATTTCATAGGCAGGCAGGAAAGTTCCACAAAGAGAAGGAAGTTTTGCCCAAAGGCATACAACTAATGAGCGATGGAGCTGGATCTGACTTCATCTTCTGACTCCAAGTCCAGGTGTGGGCCTGAGCCACACGTGCATTTATTATGCATCTTTTGCGTGCTAGGGACTGTGACGCTGATAAACCTCTCGCAACACTTAATCCTCAGAGCCTCAGCACATCTTAAAGTACAATAGTCCTTGGGTTGCAGAGGGGGAAAGTGACACTCAGACAGGGGAAAGGAAGGGGTGGAAAGGCTCAAAGCTAGCCAAGGGCCGACTCAGGATCTGAACCCAAGCCTGACCAGAGGGAACAATTTTTTCCTTAACCTGCCCTGCAGGGCCTTTGCACGCGCGCGCGCGCGCGCGCGCACACACACACACACACACACACACACACACACACACTCCTGTCAGCTTTCACAGACGTTAAGTTAAGCCCCACTCCACGGCTGAGGAGCCGTACAGGCGGAAACTGGCTGGCCTAACGTCACCCAAGTGACAGAGCCAAAAGGCAAAGTTCCAACTCGCCTGATGTCAAACTTGGGGTAGATGATGAAGGGCATCTTTACCCCGTCAGGCACTGGGCCAGGTCCTGGGGGCACTGAGTGCTTATTCTACCCAGCCTGGGAAGCAGGCATCAGTGGACGGACCCACAGTGCAGATGAGGTGCTAGAGGGTCAGGGGGTGATTCACTGGCCTTCACACAGAGCCAAGAGTCAGTGAGCAGTGGAAGGATCTAGAATTTCCTTAGTGTCCACTAGAGTCAAACACTTCATCAACCTTAGCAAACCTCCAGCCATTTGACAAGGTAGACACTCCTGTGTCCACTATTCTCCAGGAAAGAAACCTCTTCTTCAGTCAGGGCCTTGAGATGCAAAAAAAAACCCCCAAACAAACCCTTTTGTCATCAAGTTAACTCTGACCCACAGAGACAGTATAAGCTCACTGCTCTTGAACCTACTGATAGCTAGCTGACCCTCCAGTGGATTTTCAGGGACCGTAAATTGCATGGGAGAGGACAGTCCATCTTTTTCCCTCGGAGAAACTGGTAGATTCGAACGGCTCTCTTTTGGTTTGGCAGTGCAACGCCTTACCCATTGGACCACCAGAGCTCCCTTAGTGGCCCGAGAGGACAAAGTAAAACTGCCCAGAGGGTTTCCACACAGCAGTAATGGGCTCAAGTATGTCACAGGCCATGAAGACGCCCAGGACAGGACAGGGTTCAAGTCTGCTATTCACAAGGTTGCTAGGAGCCGAACTCAACTTGACAGCACCTAAGAACAAACGACAATCTTTACAGAAGCATATTACCACCTCTTTCTCCTGTGGAAGAGCTGGTGAGTGGAACCACGGACCTTTCGGTTAGCTGCCAAGGGCTTAAGCACTATTCCAACCGTGGCTCCTATTAAGGTGCAATCAGGGATTGAGAAGCCCAGAATAGCCTGATTCTGGAAGACAGTGAAACAGGTGGATAATTTCAGAAACTTCTTCTACGAGGCAGGCTTGACACATTCCCTCCCCAAACGCAGGGTCATTGAGTCAATTCTGATCCCCCAGGCCTCTCCAGGACAGGGCAGAATTGTGCCATAGGGTTTCCAAGGCTGCACATCTTATATAAACAGACCCCCACATATTTCTGCTGCAGGGCAGCGAGTGGATTCCAACTGCTGATCTCCAGTTAGCAGCCACACAGCCACCAAGCCCATCAGGGCTCTTGATAAAGATAAACAAACAGTCATTTAATCTTTTAACCACACTGGAGGTGGCTATTTTTATCTTGATTTGACAGATCCTCAGAAATGTGGTGTGGCTTGTTCAAGGTCACAAAACAGAATCAAGGTTCAAGGACAGGTTTGACTCTACCAAGCCAGGCTCTCAAACGAGAGCCTGCATCAGAATCTCCTTCCAGCTCTTTTAAAATACAGGCTGTGGGACCTCATTCCCATGGGTTCTCATTCATTCATTTAGGTCAGGCTGCCAATTTGCATCTCTAACAAATTCCTAGGTGAAACCAATTCTGCTGGTCAGGGAATACACATTGAGAACCACTGAAACTACACTGATCTCTCCATCAACCCTGGGCAGTAAGCATTACTATCTCTATTTTGCAGAGGACTAAATGGAGGCTCGGAGTGCTGGCATGTCCAAGATCCCACTTGGATCTCTGTTTTTAGTAATCTAGGTCTCTGTTTTAAGTAAATTCAAGTTTGCCTGGGAAAGGGAGCACCCCCTGGGTGCTAAGGGTCTCCAATGATGCAATGGGGTTTAAGTGTGTGGCTGCTAACCCAAAAGTCAGCAGTTCAAACCCACCAACCATTCCCCGCTGGAAGGGAAATAGACAATCTGATTATCTGTTCCTGCAAAGTTCTACTCTGCCCTATAAGATTGCTGTGAATCAGAAACAACTCCACAGCCCAAAACACCACCAGGTGCAGGAACATTCTGCCATTCATCTACTGACATGATCCTTCGAGGAAGAGCTCAAGATATTTTACAGCTCAAAACCCCCACCCTGCAGTTGACACACTTCCATCTCCTACCGGTTAGAAGTTATGAGAGGTATACCTGCCCTGGGGGGCTGGTGGCTTGACCCACAGACCTACCTTAAAGCAGCTTGATGAAAGTGGGGAGGGTCAGTGGTATGGTCGGATGGCGAGGGCTGAATCTGGAAGGCATTTGTATATGAAGGCGTTTACATAGCATCTCAAACAACTCTAACTGACAGATGGTGTTAGATGCCATCCATCCATCTGTCCGTCCGTCCGTCCGTCCATCCATCCATCCATCCATCCACCCATCCATCCATCCATCCATCCAGTCGATAGGAATTCATAGTCTCGCAGGAGCAGGAGTCCATGAGGGTTTCTTGGCTGTGAACCGCATGGAGGCAGATTGCATCAGAGCAAGTGCGCCACTGGGGCTGGTGAATGGAGCTCAGGGTTTTCACCCGAAGCTCCTGCAAAGAGGCTGGGGTCCCCTCCGCTCACCTCTCTGACGTCCACAGGCCCGAGCTCGCCGCCATGGCGAACGAGCCCCCCGGCGACGGCGCGGGCGCCTCCTGGCGGCGAAGGGACGAGGCGCTGCGCGTGAACGTGGGCGGCGTGCGCCGGCTGCTGAGCGCATGCGCCGTGGCGCGCTTCCCCGGCACGCGCCTGGGCCGCCTGCAGGCCGCCGTGTCCGAGGAGCAGGCCCGGCGCCTGTGCGACGACTACGACGCGGCCGCGCGCGAGTTCTACTTCGACCGGCACCCGGGCTTCTTCCTGGGCCTGTTGCACTTCTACCGCACCGGGCGCCTGCACGTGCTCGACGAGCTGTGCGTCTTCGCCTTCAGCCAGGAGGCCGACTACTGGGGCCTGAGCGAGGGCGCGCTGGCCGCCTGCTGCCGCGCGCGCTACCTGGAGCGGCGCGTGGCGCGGCCGCGCGCCTGGGACGAGGACAGCGACGCGCCGAGCAGCGTGGACCCGTGTCCCGACGAGATCTCCGACGTGCAGCGCGAGCTGGCGCGCTACGGGGCCGCGCGCTGCGGGCGCCTGCGCCGCCGCCTCTGGCTCACCATGGAGAACCCGGGCTACTCGCTGCCCAGCAAGCTCTTCAGCTGCGTCTCCATCGGCGTGGTGCTCGCCTCCATCGCCGCCATGTGCATCCACAGCCTGCCCGAGTACCAGGCCCGCGAGGCGGCGGCGGCCGTGGCCGCGGTGGCGGCGGGCCGCAGCGCCGAGGAGGTGCGCGATGACCCGGTGCTGCGGCGCCTCGAGTACTTCTGCATCGCCTGGTTCAGCTTCGAGGTGTCCTCGCGCCTCCTCCTGGCCCCCAGCATGCGCAACTTCTTCTGCCACCCGCTCAACCTCATCGACATCGTGTCGGTGCTGCCCTTCTATCTCACGCTGCTGGCCGGCGCGGCGCTCGGCGACCAGCGGGGCCCGGGCGGCGAGGAGCTCGGAGACCTGGGCAAGGTGGTGCAGGTGTTCCGCCTCATGCGTATCTTCCGGGTGCTCAAGCTGGCGCGTCACTCCACCGGGCTTCGATCGTTGGGTGCGACGCTCAAGGTATCCTCGGGCCGGGTGGGAGGCTGGTGGGTGTGAGCACGGGGCAGGTGACACTATGCACAGGCCGAAATGGCAGGTGACAGACACTATGCACAGGCCGAAATGGCAGGTGACACTATGCACAGGCTGAAATATCCTCCTTGGTTCCGGATGTGGAGCTGGATGGTGTGTCCTTCACACTCTCCCAACAGCTGCAGAAAGAAGGGCTTATTTAACTGTTCTATTGTACCCATTTCCCAGGGGAGAAAACAGGCATTTATAGGCTTTGCTTATCCTTTGAAAGAAAGCAAAAAGCCAAGTCACTTTCTGTGTTGTTTTTATTCTGTGCCTTTTAATCGGAACCCACTGCTAGCTGTCCCTCTAGGTTTGCAGAAGCCGATACCGCATCGGAGGAGATTGCCCATCCTTCTCCCACTGAGCAGGACCACATTTAAACGGTGTGCCGTTGGCATTGCAGCGCACTGTCTTACCGCTAGGCCCCATCAGTTTTGATGTATCTGTCAAAAATGCAGTACTAATGATAACATGAAAATGCACAAAGCAGGATATTACCCAGCTCTTAGACCCATTCTGTAGGCATGACCACCATCAGAGGCACAAAGTCCCAAGTCACCCTTAATAGACTTAAGTCTTGGAATAGCTCAGAAGCTGCGCCTTGCTGAGCACTAATTCAGTGCCAGTTTTATATCCATAATCGATGCAGCTCTCTTGGGAAGATGCTATTATTTATCATCTTCCTGTAGATAGAGAACCCCAAGTTCACAGGGTCAGCGCTTTAAAACCTGCTTGCAAGATGCTGCATCCTCCTGGGTCAGGCCCAGCACTGAGTGGCACACTGCCCTGGGTTGCTCACCGGCTGGAGGGGCGAGGTTACCCTGCTGCAGGAAACAGCTGACCTGGAGGTGAGAGAGCTCAGGCAGAAAGCTGGGAAGGGAGGATTTGGAGTTGAGGGAGGAGTGCTGAGATAAAGGACTGAAGGTGGAAGTGTGACAGGGGACCGAAGGGCCACAGACTGTCCACCCACCATCTGGGGTTCAAACAGCAGCCAGAAGTACTGTCACTACTTTGCAGGTGTTGAAAGTGGGACTTGCCAGAGATCCCTCTGAGTTAAGTGGGGGAGCTCAGAGGAGAGCCCAGTTGTGCCTGATGCCAGCACCTCATGCTCTGTCTTAAAGCTTGCTTCATCCCTGCTGGGGAATCTCTAGAAGGTGCTGAAAGACTCCTCCCGCTCAGGCCTCTTCTCCCTTGTCACAGCACAACTGTCAGGGTGCTGGGCTCAGGCAGGGTGACCTGGACAGAACCCCAGTGTGACAGGCAGGTGCATGGAAATGCCTTAGCCAGCCCCTGAGCCCGGCATCTCTGCAGAGATATCCCTTTCCCCAGAATGCTCCTCTGCTCCCACCACATGGGGAGCCAGAACCTGATGGACCCCCTTTATTCTGCAGGGGAACAGTGTTGATCACGGCTGCCAGGCTTTGAGATATTCTAGGTTAGCCCTTTGCCACCTAAAGGGAGAACCCTCCTCAGTGGGAGCTTTGTCGTCGCTGGAGGCTTGTTAGAAATGCAGGTGCTTTTATAGGTGGTATTGCACAGCACAGTCCAAGGGCCCCTGCTACAGACCAGGGTTCTTTATCTTAGTAATACCAAATCATGGATTAGAATAATCTCGCTTGCAGGGCCACCCCTCTGCATTGCGCAGGGGGGAGTTCAATAGCATCCCCCATTTTTGCCCACCAGTAATACACCTTCCCAGGTGGGACAACCCACAGCATCCCAGACAGTGCCGTATGGCCCTTAGGGAGGGAGCAAAATATCCCTCAGTTGTGAACCCACGTCTTGACCTCAGGGTCAGACAGAGCCTGTGTACTTAGATCATTGCATCCTATGAGGGGACTAGGGAACAAGTAGCCGCCTTCTTGCTTTCTTAAGGGGACAGAGAACCTTTAGGCTTGTCAGAAACGCTAGGGAGCTCAGGCGAGCTGTGGATAGAGTTGTGCTGCCGTTCCGAAGCTGAGTGTTCACTCCATGGGAGAAAGGTTGGCATTCTCCTCTTGTGCATTTACAGCCTCTGAAAACCCACTGGCCCACTAGACGGTCAGCTGTGAATCAGTTCTGACTCAGAAGCAGTGAGTTTGGCAGAAATGTGACAGACCGGTTGGCACGTGAAGCCGTCTCTCTCTGTTGTGCCGTTTGGACTGTGCCTTGCTCAGGCCCCGTGACACCGTAAGACCAGCAAGCCTTGGATGCGTTGGTTGCTACCAGTCACGCCTCTCAAGTTAAATAAAACAAGTGTGACCCAGCAGGCACCTTTGGACAACAGAAATTTAGCCTGTGTTCCAATGACTGGAGGTTTTCAGTGGTTTGTTTTTAAATTGTGAAAGCTTACAAAACATGCTGGTTATTGGTTCAATCATTCATACTTTGTTTAACATTAGATACAGTACTCACAGTACCCACTTCCTCTGTGTGATTCTCATTTCCATTAATCCTAACCTACCCCTTCTTGCCTTCAGGCCTTTATTCATGGCAGATGCCACAGTGCCTGGCGTCCGCCTGTCCGTAGCAGTGAGATCTTAGTAGTCAGGTGTGTTGATTCTTAGCACTAGCTTTACCCTTTTTTTGTGGCTTTCTGCCTGACTCTTCTCTCTGAACCTCAGTTTCTCCACATGTCCACTCCAGGATCTGTAAGCCTGCCTGACTGACCAGTTCCTGCGTTTTCTTCCAGCACAGCTACCGAGAGGTGGGCATCTTACTGTTGTACCTGGCTGTGGGCGTGTCCGTGTTTTCCGGGGTGGCCTACACGGCTGAGAAGGAGGAAGACGTGGGCTTTGACACCATCCCAGCCTGCTGGTGGTGGGGCACAGTGAGCATGACCACTGTGGGCTACGGGGACGTGGTACCAGTGACGGTGGCTGGCAAGCTGGCAGCCTCGGGCTGCATCCTAGGGGGTATCCTGGTGGTTGCACTGCCCATCACCATCATCTTCAACAAGTTCTCCCACTTCTACCGGCGTCAGAAGGCCCTGGAGGCAGCCGTACGCAACAGTGACCATCAGGAGTTTGAAGACTTAATGAGCAGTGTTGACGGGGTTTCAGAGGCGTCCATGGAGACCTCCCGCGATGTCTTTGGAGGGAATGACTGCAGACCTGGAGGCCTCGGACCCCAGAGTGACCCTCCGAACTCTCAGGTTTACTAAAGTCAGGACTCCGTGTTCCCTCACTCGTGCCCCAAGAGTCCACTGAAGCAGCAGGGACATGTTGTTAACGTTGTTCAGGAGAGCGTGGCCTGCTCAGGACTCCTTGGGCTGGCCCGAGAGATGAGACCCACACGTGGATCCCTTCTCCAGAGGCCCAGGGCATGTGGTTCCTTAAGATTCAGTGAGTCTGCAGAGCGAGCTGGAGACCTTGGTAAAGGAAACTTCCAGGTGTCCATGAAGTAAGCATGAGCTAGAGGAGGGACACTGAAAGGATATTCTTTTTACCTCTGTTAGCCTTATCACATTTGACCCCAGCTCAGAGGATCAGAATGATTCCAAGGTCTCAGATGAGAAAGCTGAGACTCAAAGAGGTGTTCTTTTAGTCACACACTTAAGTATCACCCCGCTCGAAACAGTGGAGCTATTTTTGGAATCCAGACTTACTGACCTGCCACTATCAGTGTTCCTCCCACTGTGTTCTTCCCTTCTTCTGCCCTCACACAGTTTATTTGTGGTTTTGTGGGGTTCTTGGGACCCTTAAGTTGATCTACATGGTTGAAATCTTCTGTCAGAGCAGGGCAAAGAACCAGCCAGGTGAGTGTGCTGTGGGAGCGTGAGCTTCAGCCAGGTTCTTTGTTTACAACACCAACAAAGGTCAGCTCTAAAACAAGGCCCCGGAGCACAGAGCTGTGTCCTTAGCCGATTTACAGTATTTCTAAGCAATGATAATCCTGCCACATTCTCCCAGCGTTAGCTTGAGGTCAGGACAGTCGGCAGACGCTCTTGCTGGGCGGAAAAAGACTTGAGGTTTCCAACAAGACTTACTATGTCCCCAGATGCAGCCCATCGGTCACCAGGCTACAATCCGTGACCCACAGGGAGATGAAAACCAGATTGTGCAGTAGATGCATTGGGTTAAAAGCCAGCTGACCTGATAATGTGACAGGGTCTCCCCACTTCTGTGCCTTCCCCATGATCCCCAGCCCCTCACTGAGTTTCCATCAAGGCAGATGTTCCTTTTGGCCAGCTCCCACCCCTCATCCTTACAGGGAACATCTCTCATAATCACCTGCCAAGTCCCCTCTCCCCTTGGTGAAAAGGCTGCCAGGGAGACAGCTCCCGTAGCACCTTTGACACGCTGCTATTAGAGGACTCGTCACTGCTGTCATGTGACTGAATCGTTCTGTGGCATCACCCTGAACTTCAGGATGGGAGGCACCATGCTTGGACTCCAGGTGTGGTGACGCGTGCGTGCTTAGGATGCTTGAGTGGGTCGGCTGTTCTCCCAGCCTCTCCTGTTCCGGCTCTGAGAGCAAGCAGGAGAAAGTCCGAGAGATCTCTACACTCAGGACGGGCGGACAAGCTGAGAGGAGGGAAGGCCCTATGGTTCTGCTAGATTTCTCCCCCTTGGCTTTGAGACCTTTACAGAAGTTTTATTCACTCATTCAGTAGTTACTGGAAGGGCCTTTCACTTGGGCCCTGCAGATGTGTTTTGTTTAGCTGAACAGTGTTTTAAGTGTGAATGCCTTGGGGGGGGGGCGTGTGCACACTCTAGTTCTTAATATCCTTGACACAGTCATTTACACACATGCACATAAATACTACAGTGCTATGCCACCTACTCTCACACGCACGCGCTCTCTCTCTCTCTCTTTTATTTATCCTCCCATGGCCTCTAACTTCCTGAGCATTTGAGAGAATTGGAATTAAAAGATACGATGGTGAAGCTCTGTTGCAATCCGAAAGGCACACGGTCTACACCCACAGCTGCTCTGTGGGAGAAGGATAGGCAGTCCCATAGGATTTACTGCCTCTGAAAACCCACCAGAGGGTCAGCTATGTGTCAGATCTGACTCAGCGGCTCACGGCGACAGCACCAGGTGGTGAAATAACATGCCCTGAGCTGCTGCTAAGAAGGTTGGTGGTTCTAGGTCACCCAGAGAATCCTGAGAGAGACGGAGTCTGTTTCTGGAAAAGCAGCTGTGAAAAGGCCCATCAGAGATAGTCTGCTCTGGCCAACAGAAGGTCACCATGATTTTAATCAACTCAGCAGCAGCTGTGTTTGTTGCGGTTTGGTGTTTTACACCCATGAAGCTTATAGACTAGAGAGAGAGACTTTAATCTTTAATCACATTACATACAGACATAATAATGAGCCCTAATAAGTGTAGGGAACTCTGAGTGTGAGTAATCTAACAGGGATCCTGACCTGAGAAAAAGGAGTTTGGTTTCTTTTGTTTTTTAAAGAAAGGCTTTCCTGAAAATCAATGGTCTGACCTGTCATCATAGAATTAATAGCACCTGATTAATTAAGGAAGCTCTGGTGGCCTAGTGGCAAGGAGTTGCACTGCTAATTCAAAGAGGCAGGTCAAATCTACCAGCTGCTCTTCAAGAGCGAAAAAGATGGGCAGTTCCTCCTTTGCCATTTACAGCCTCTGAAACCCACTGGAGGGTCAGCTGAGCCAGTTCTGACTCGATGACACATAACAATTAGGTAAACATTCTTGGGAAGAGTGTTCAGGCAGAGGAGACTGCATGTTGAGGTCACCATTCACTGTAGCTCTGGAAAGCTCTCAACTTGTTTTATGAATGGATTAGGAGGCTCCATATTGAAGTGACTGGAGCTCAGTCAGGGACCCTCTGAAGTTGCTCTCCACACACCAGCCCTCCCACACACTTATCTCCTCTTCACATGTGGGCTCAGCTGTTCCCAGGTCGAGATGCAGAGGCTACAGGCACCACTGTCATGGTCAGCCTGAATAAACCAAGGAGTCGAATAGCTTGCAGATTTTCTGATCCCACAAATAAGTCCCTAAAGCTGGTGTCAGAAAAGTTGAGGGGAGAATTCTCTGGCTTGACATCCATGAGGACAGTACTCCCTCCAACCTCGGTGTATCCATCAAAGCCATTATACAAATAAAGGTCCTGCACTGAGAACCATTTCTGCCCACAAATAAGTCCCTAAAGCTGGTGTCAGAAAAGTTGAGGGGAGAATTCTCTGGCTTGACATCCATGAGGACAGTACTCCCTCCAACCTCAGTGTATCCATCAAAGCCATTATACAAATAAAGGTCCTGCACTGAGAACCATTTCTGCCTGTGTTGACTGCCTGGCCTGCTCTTCTGGGTGTTTTGGGAGGGAGGGGGGGCGGGTAGTTCAGAAATCTCTGGTTCTGTCCCAGAGTTGGCATAGGCACAACCTGTGCTGTGCCAGCCAGAACATGTGGGCAGGTGACTGGAGTCCAGCTGCAGTTAACGTGGTCAGAAGAGGAGTTTCCTGAAGCTGTGCTGCAATCCCGAAGGTGACCCCGAAGGAGCATCCCCCAGCTGCTCCGCTGGAGAAGGAAGGGCAATCTCCGGTGCCAAGTGGATCCGACTCGACGGTACACAACAAGAATAAGCATTAAAAAAGTTTATTAGAGTAAATAATTGAAATGATGAGCAACCTAAAATCAGGGCTTTTAGGTTACAAGTAACAGAAAAACTAAGCAGAAAACGAATTTATTAGGAGTATTAATTTTCAATGGCTGGCTGAAGAGATTGTTGCAAATCCAGTGGCTTAAAAACAACAGAAACCCCTCTTGCCATTCTGGAATGTAGAAGTCCACAATGAAGTTGCTGGCAGGCTGTGTTCCCCACACAGATCTAGGGGAGCCTCTTCAGGTGTTGCGTGGCTGTCGGCATTCCTTGGCCGGCCTTGGCTTCTAGCTGCACCATTTCTCTACTTACTTCATCACATCACCTCCTTTGTATGTGCCAACTCTTCTCTGTTTCTGTCCTGTAAAGACCGTTGTGATGGCACTGAGGGTCCACAGCATTGATCCAGGATCATCGTATCTCAGTACTCCTCACACATCCACTAAGACCCATTTTTCAAGAAAAGTAACAAACAGGTTCCTGGGACTAGGATATGTGTTTATCCTTGGATCCACCATCCCGCTTGGTACAGAAGGACATCAGAGAAGCTCATCAGAAGAAAGCTGACCAGGCCTTGGGGAGTGCAGGAGAGGACATTGAGGGGAGGCCAGCAGACCTCGGCAGCAGGGCTCGCAGGCCTGTTCGGAACACTCATTCAAATGATTCATCCCCAGTCACCTTCCATGTACATTCAGCTCACAGAACCCAAGAGAACAATTCCTTGATGGGGAGCAACTTCCAATGTATCCCTTTGGAGTCTGCTTAAAAATCGAGTCTTCTTCAGGCATGCTCAGCTTTGTGTCTAAATAGATGATGTGGTTGCTGGTTCATGATGCATTTTGGATTACAAGGTTACCTTGGATTAGACCTTGATTTGAGCCCAGTAGCAAGCAAGGATCCATACAACCAACAAAATCCAAATATTATACCTCCTTTTGTAGGGTTAGAAGTTCCAAGGTATAGCTCTTTGTCCTTCACCTTGAAAGGGAAGAGAATATAGTTGGATGGAGACCATGGCCAAACTGAAAAACCATTGCCCTGCAGTCCCTTCCAACTCATAGAAACCCTCGAAAGCGGCGAGCTCTGGTGGCCTAGTGGCAAGAAGCTGCAACTACAATCCCAGAGGTGCATGGTTCGAATCCACCAGATGCTCTGCCGGGTAAGGAGGGGCAATCTCCTCCTGTACCAGTCAGATCTGATTTGACGGTACACGCACACAAAAATAATAAAATTTAAAAAAAAAAAAAA